AAACACATTCTGAAGCCTAAACTAAGAAGAGTATATTAATGTGTTTGTTTGATGTGGTGTATGTCCTACTGCCTTCTGTTGCATTCCCAGTTCACATGAATTCTGAAGTTGGGGATAGAAAAGTGTTTAAAGAATCTGGCCATCTTAAACTCTGGCTCTGAGTTATTAATCTCAGTCTTCATAGTCTTGTCACTTCTCTCCAGATCGGTCCCTGTCATTCAGCTGCAGTGGTTTCTATACCCCTAGAGGCCAATGATGAAGGGCCTTGCAGGTCTGAAGGCTCAGTGTTTGCTTTTCTTTCTTCCTGGCTGTCTTCTTACTCTGGCAGCATTTGCTCCCACTGGGAGCTGAGGGTACTTCTGACTTTGCTGTCTGTACAGCTTCCTGGGCAGCCAAGTACTGGGTCATAGTGAGGGGCTTCCTTTTTGTAAGTTGTAGTCTGAGATGTCTGCCACCATGGCAGCATCCATGATTCAGCTCCGGGCGATGGCCATCAGCCATGTTTCAGTGCACAGCAGAGCCAACAGGAGGAGAGCAGATGGTGATGTACTGTAAGGTAGAATGGTTGTAGAAAGAATACATTCACCACCTTTTTCTCATGAAGTAGGAAAGATTGAATCCAGAAGTGGTCTGTTACTCATCTTTCCACCCCTAATAATAGTCAGCATTTATGGAGCAATTACTATGTGCCAGTTATGGTTCTAGGCACTTTTCATATATTAACTCATTTGTGCTCCTGATAACCCCATGAGGGGGTCAATGAAGCACAGGAAGGTCCTGTGGCTCCTGAGAGGTGGGGCTGGAGTCCATAGGGCTATGTGCTTTCAGTTTGTTCCCTTAACATTACCCTGAGCTTTCTGGTGCTCACACCACACCTGACTCAGGGGAGTTGCTTAGTATTTTATTGACTGGTGAAGGAAGGAGACTATTAAACAGTCACCTGTATGTTTCCCTTGAAGTAAGAATCAAGTCTTTTTTCTGCTTTCAGATTTATGGTACACCTACCTGCCAACTTTTATCTGCTGGAATAACACCAGGTCTTGCAAGGGTCCCACCTGAAAATATATTCTTAGGGGAGTTAGTATATGACAATGATAGCTGTTCAAAGCACTAGATTAAAATTCAGTTATTCATTGGCGGGGGTTGCTAGGCATTAGAGGGAGCGAGAAGCTGTACTCACTGTATTTCCTTACTCCTTACATCAGAAAGGATTTCCAAATGGATGAACAATTTTATTTATTTATTTTTTTGTAATGGCAATTTAATTAATTAATTGATCGGGTTTTTTTTTGCAGCTGGGTGCATGCGGTGGCACATGCCTTAATCCCAGTGGGTCAAGAGGCAGAGACCAGAGGATCATGAGTTCAAAGCCCACCACAGCAAAAGCGAGGCACTAAGCAACTCAGTGAGACCCTGTCTCTAAATAAAATACAAAATAGGGCTGGGGATATGGCTCAGTGTTTGAGTGCTCCTGAGTTCAATTTCTAATAACCCCGCAAAAAAAAAATATATGTGTGTGTGTGTGTATATATATATATATATTTTTTTTTTTTTTTTTTTTTTTTTTGCAGTACTGGGGATTGAGCCCAGGGCCTCTTGCATGTTAGACAAGTGCTGTACCACTGAGCTACACACCCAGCCCTGGATGAATAAATATAAACATGAAACTGTATATAGTAAGCCCGCTGCATCTTCAGGTCCTGTGTCAGAGGATCAGAGGTTTCAGTCAACTGCTGATCAGAAAATATTTGAAAAAAAGTATGTCCCATGAAATGTGTGACTACTCACAGGAGGGGAGAAGGGTAAAGATTATAAGTAGTTTCAAATGTGTTTTCATCAGACCTTGGTTTGATCAGGTCAGATATTGTTGCTGGAAGAGTTTTTTGTTTTGTTTTGATCTCTTTGGGTGTTTTTTTTTTTTTTTTTTTTTGATTTTGGAATTGTGGATAAGGGATTATACATCTAGATAAGAGTTTGTAAATACAGATGGATGTTTAAGGGTATTCATGGCAGTGTTGGTTGAAATCATGACAGCACCTCTGTAGGAGATTGGTTAATGGTCCTGATACACAATCGTGGTATATTTAACTCTTTAAAAAGAATGGAGCAAATGGTGTGATCTTGTTTGGACTAAAAATATATTGATGCTTTTATGTGCATCAAGTTACTTCTAGAGTGACATCTAGATCAGTGGCTGCATATTTAAAGCCCCTGGAGAAATAAAATAATAATACCTGGGCCTCAGCTTAACCTCATTGCATTAGGAATGCAGGGGTGAGGCCCCAGAACTGCTATCTTAAGGTACCCCAGGTGATTTTGATATCCTTGAGATTTGAGGACCATTGGTCTAGAAAGATAAGACATTAGAAAATATTTTGAAGTGGGAAGTGGGAGATGTAATTTTTAACAGTACTATATAAAGTAATCCCCTTTCCCATTTGTATTACTAATATTTTTTAAACTATTATGAAGAGAAAAAAAGTAAAGAACTCTTGTATGATTCACATCAGCTATTATAGGCAAAGACATTTTTAGCAGGTCTGTACTCTTCTAGAAATTTGATATTTCTGAGCATTACTCTTTTACTATATACAGTGTTTGCTGATGTCAGTTGATAACTGAGTTAAGAATCCAAAATACCAGAAGTGGATGAAAATGGCCTGAGTGGGCACTGGGCTCAGGCATCAGTCTTTCATGGTCATGCTGAGGCACTTTATTATGAATGATTTAGCTAGATTGCTTATCCTTCCCACCAGGCTCCCACCCTAGTAGCTAAGCTAATTAAGAAAGAAGTTGCCTTTTTCTTTTTTTCGATGGTTTAGCTGATATATTTGACTACATGGAAAATAATATTGATAGGTAAAAGTGATGATAGAGCCATAAGAAATAAGTAAGTTTTTATAAACAAGGCTTTCAATAAGGAAAAACAAAAAGGCTGTAAAAGAAATGATTTGTATTTATAGTATACTACTTGGCTCTTCTATGAACTATTTATTTTGTGTAATAATGGAAGTATTGACTTGATTTAGCTAAAAGTTGTTCTGTCATTGTGCTGGGAAGATGGGGACATGATATGAGAGAATTAAATACTTGGTCTGCCAAGATGAGAAGACAGTGACCAAAACAAAAGTCAGTTTATGTACAGAAACTTAAAATTTACTCAAAAGCATACTATTTAGAAATATGGAGCAGTACATCAAAAGAAACTCAAGACTTGACAGTGATGGCCTTTGGGTCATACAGATAGAATGGGCAAGTGTGTGGCAGAGGCCCATTGTCTCATAACCTTTTTTAAATTTTATTTTTATTAGAGCTTTATAATTAGGCATAGTAGTGGGTTCATTTTGACAAAATCATATATATGAGGAATTTGATTTCAGTCCCCATTTGCCCCTTCCCTCCCCTTTTCCTCCCCTATTCTCTTTCCTTTACTGATCTTCCTCTCACTCATTTATCTATTTATCTTTGATTGGGACTTTCTATATAAAGGTGAAATTCTCTTTGGCACATTTGTATGTGCATGTAGCATGATTCTGTTAGAGTCATTTAATTGTTCTTCCCTGTCCCATCTTTCCTCCTTCCCTCTTATCCTCCTACTCCACTGGTTTTTTTTCCTGTATATTTATGATAGCTGATCCTCCACTCTCCCCACACCTTCTTCCCCTATTTTGCTCTAGTTTCTACATATGAGAGAAAACATTTGATCTTGACTTTCTGAGTCTGGCTTATTTTACTTATATTCTCCAGTTCCATCCATGTACCGGCAAATGCCATTTTTTCATTTAAGAAAATGCCTTTTGATGGTACTTTAGGACTGTCAGCTTACTGACAAGAGCTTTGTCTTGTAGCTTAGTCCCTGTTGGCCTCTTTCCCCCTCCTTCTTCCTCTTCTCCCTTTCCATCCTCCTCTGCCCCATCTTCCTTACCACATCTACCTCCTCCTTCCTCTTCCTGCCCCTTCTCCCTGTTTCTTTTCTTCTTTTTTCTCCTGTTTTCTTTCTCCTTTCTTTTTTGCTTCTTCTTTCCTCCTTCTTCTGTCCCTTCTGCCCCTTCTCCTCCTTACCCTTCCCTTTTTTTTCTTCCCCCCTTCCTCCTATCCATCTTTCTTTTTCTCTTTCTCCTCCTTCCTGCTTCTCCTTTCTTTGGCATAGAAGGGCCTCTGTTCTCTGAGATCGTTTATTGCAGTGTGGCTACCTTCACTCTGATAAAGTTCTGTTTTATCTGGCTCAGTAAAATTGGCGAATAACAACTTTCCTTGTTCTTGCTGACCTCTGCTCACATCCAGCCAGATCTGGTTTGGGGTTGAAGTCCATGAACAAAATTGCTAAAGCTCCTCTGTTGTGTTTTTGTGTACCCTATTTTTGCTAATACTGCTATGTGGCACATCACACTGCATTTATATAAATGATACCTCTAACATCAGAGAAAGGATTGTTCAGAGGGCAAGGTGGTGTTTGGCATGGAGTGAATACCTTATTTCCACCTTAAATCCCGAAATAGATTGGTCTCTACAACCCAGATTACAGCCAGATTGCACACCTCCCATTTCTGTCCTATGTCATGAAGGAGACACTTCTGCAGGTCCTGTGTGAAAAGTGACACTGAGCATCACTTACATGGGGCAGCTCACAGTTCTCTCCAGCATAGGTTTCCTGCTTTGCTCCAGAAACACCTTAATAGGATGTTATTAGTATCTCTATCAAAGGGTTAAAAAAATACTTCTCTTATTAGGCATCAAATAAAATTCTCTGTGGTGAATCCTGAGGTATGTATTCTTTCCAAGGTGAGATGGGTGTACTTCATATATGCCATTTATAGAAATGATTGTGAAGACAGTTTCACATGTCAAGGAGCACATGCCAGTCTGTGCTTCCTGACAAGATGGTTTCCCTGAGGGTGGCAAGGATCAGTGTTACCCACTTTGGGGATTGTAATACTAGAACAGAGGTTTGTTTACCTGTTTTTACTCTTGGGTGTTTTCTTTGTTTTTGTTTTTTGCAGCTTCTTAACCCCGGTTTTGAGATGATGGGATTAGGAAACGGGCGCCGCAGCATGAAGTCGCCGCCCCTTATTCTGGCTGCCCTGGTGGCCTGCATCATTGTCTTGGGCTTTAACTACTGGATTGCGAGCTCCCGCAGTGTGGACCTCCAGGTATTATGTCTGTTTATTTTTGTGGGTATGGATACAATTGAATATTTAACATTGTTGGGTGATGGTCCCAGGGGTTTGCTGTTAATTGTCACCCATGGTGCTCAGTGTACACTCCATGATAGGGGTTTTGGGCTCTACATCTGCTCCAGCCCAGCCCTGGAGCCGACTCTACTCCATTTCAGCTTTGGAAGGAGAGGACACCCTGTGATGGATTAGGATCACTGCCAAAGCCTCCCTCTGCTTTTCAATTGAGCATTTTGGTGGTTCTGGAAAGGCAGCCTGCTGAGGCTCACTGGCCACAGCCCATTTCCAGTCCTGGTGTCCACGTGGACATCAAAGTGATATTTGCAATATATTTGGATGATGAGTATAAGAAATGTGTTTTTAAAGGTGCCAATAATAACTTTAGATTTCCTGTGTCTTATGGCCATTCATGGGTTAAGACAATGCAGAGCAAGGACAGAGACTCTGTCCTTAACTATACTTTAGTGAGGCTCCTCTGAGCCCTCTTCTTCACTGGGCCTTGATCCTGACCCCATCCTCACCCTCGTCTTTGATCTTCCCAGCCCTGTTTTAGCAAAGAATCTGCTAGGTCATCTCATCACCCTGATAGCTGATCAAATTTCTCATCCCCCATCCTTGATGTCCAAGTCTTTGACCTGCCTTTAGCAAGAATCTTATTAAACCAGTTTAGTAAGAATCCCCCTAACCTGTATGCTGCTTCTTAGTAATCATGCATCCTCTGACCCCTTCACTCTGTTCATTGGCTATACTCTCCAACCACTTTTGCTTTATTGAGAGTTGAACACAGTTTTTCTTTACACTATTATAAGTCACAATCTCTGTTGGAATAGTCATGAGTAAAGTTTTCCTGTTCGTTTTAATATGTGTCAGAATAATTTTTATTTTTACACAAATTGCCTTTTTTTGTGTTCAAGTCCTACAAAGTTGGGATTTTGCTTTCCACATTTCACAGGTGGGCAGAGTAGAACACACAGAGATTACAAGTAGAACAGGGATTCTGACCACTGGGTTCTTGGCCATGGAACTCCATCCCAGCTGAGCATTCTCTGTTTTGTCCTCTCAAGCTAGGATTGTCCTCTTTATCTGCCCAGGATTACAGTCCTTGTAATTGAGCTTCCATGGCAGCCCCTGTTCTCTGGGCAGATGAGACCTTGGTTTCTGAGGTTGGAGAATTGAATCTGTTTTCAGACATTTTCTTATATGCAGCTAACAGAGAGCACGTAACTCTCAATATTCATGCCCCACCTTGTGCCAGGTAATGCACAGAACACTCTGGGTTTTTACTACATTTATATCTCATAAGCCCCTGTAAGGGGTGTAGTGATGGGTTTCCATTTTTCACTAGTAATGTGGAGGCTCAAAGAAGTGCATTCCTCTACTTAGAGCAGCATTTCTCCAGAAAGTCCTCTTAAAGCACATAGCCTTAGGCACATATTCTGTATGTAAGGTGGGGTGCAGGGTTGGCTCCAGTGAGGTCTTTGAGAAAGCTGAGACAGTCTCCCAGATGGTACGACCTCACCCTTTGGTTTCCTTGTAGTCACGAATCCTGGAGCTGGAAGGCAGGGTCCGCAGGGCAGCTGCAGAGAGAGGTGCTGTGGAGTTGAAAAAGAATGAGTTCCAGGGAGAGCTGGAGAAGCAACGAGAGCAGCTCGACAAGATCCAGTCTAGCCACAACTTTCAGCTGGAGAGCGTCAACAAGTTATACCAAGATGAGAAGGTATGGCCTGCCTCATTGCCCTCATATTTCTATTTCGAATGACAGTTTCTACCTTGGGTTAAGATTTATGTCATTATGTAGAGTGAACCTGTTGGTCAGGTTGGGCATCTCCTTCCCTTGGCCCTCCATTCCCCACTGAGCTCATCTTTGCAGTGGTGATGCAAGAAATGCAAAAGAATCAAGGTGGCATTGGGTTCTTCCTCTTACTGTCTTTTTTCTTATTTTCTACTCTGTGCCAGGGGCTTATATCTCACAGAGGAATAGTGTTTGAGTCTTCAAATATTTCACTGATATATTTAGATCTCTAAATACTAACAAAAAAAGTCGGGGCCAGGTGTGGCAGTGGCTTGGAAGGAAGATTGGAAGGTAGGCAGAAGCAGGAGGATTGCAAGTTCAAAGCCAGCCTCAGAAACTTATGAGGCCCTAAGAAGCTTAGTGAGACCCTGTCTCAAAAAAAAAAAAAAAGGCTGGGATTGGGGTTGTGGCTCGGTGGTAGAGTGCTTGCCTAGCATGTGTGAGGCACTGGGTTCGATTCTCAGCACCACATATAAATAAATAAAGGTCCACTGACAACTAAAACATATTTTAAAATAAAAAAGGACTGGGAATGAGGCACAGTGGTTAAGCCCCCCTGGGTTCAATCCTCAGTACTTTTTTTAAAAAAAATAGTAGGGAACTCAGAGTGTTGGCTTTTAAGTTTAAAACAACAACAACAACAACTAGATTTTGCACAGATTAAAAAGGGGCTTCTAGCTAATTAAAATATCACTTTTTCTGAGGATTGCAAAATTGAACTTTCTTGTTATTAACTGGTATAATGGTATTAGTTACTACTGTCTTCTAAAGTACATCAAAGTCATGATTATTTGTTATCCAGAAGGCTTTGGCTCTTACTAATGCATATGTCTCTCCCTGGGGAATGGTTGATTTATTAGAAGGAGGTTGTACCTCAAGATCCATTATCTCAGATGTGGACTTGGTTTTAGTATAAACTAGTGCCCAACACTTCACTAGAAAATGAATCATTTCTAAGGAGGGCTTCAGACTTTTCTTTCCTAACTGATTTAAAATGCAAGAAGTACTTTCCTTCACTTGTAACATACTTTCACTGTTCACAAACTCATACATCTTCCAAGGGAATTGTTCTAGTTTCCATGTTATAATAAAGTGCTTCATTATTTTTCTTTGCTGGAAGATACTATTTGTGTTCCTGAAAACCTCTTTGAATATAATGGGACCTGGATTTTTCTCAGTGTATATGTAGACAGTTTCCCTAAAGATGGGTTTCTTGGAGGAAATAAGAGTTTATTATGTCAAACTCAAAAACTGTAAAAAGATTTTATTTGGGGGTCTTAGGCATTGCAGTTTGTGAGACACAGGTTCATATAGCTATAAGAGTAAAAGCCTCCTCACGGGATGAAATGAAGGGGGATATCAGCCAGGTGGAAAACCAGGTGACTTTCCCTTGCTTCTTTTTTTTTTATTGTTTATTTTTCATTTTGACACAGGGTCTTGCCAAAATTGCTGAGAATCTAACTGTTAGAGTCTGTAAACAAGTCAAAATAACATCTGGCATTTTGCCAGGGGAATGTTAGAGGTGGTAAACAAGTCTGGATGGTGCCTGGCAAAATGCCAGGTGTTATTTTGACCAGTGGAAGCCGTTTATTGTAGGACAGGAGCAGTATTTATACATTCCACACAGCTTATCTAATTAACATAAACTAGATACATCAGTCAACCAATCAGGAATCTCCACACTTAATAGCTCACTTTTGTTACTTCTCAAACCACTCCCTCTGGCATTTCGCCAGGCACCATCCAGACTTGTTTACCAACTCTTACATTCCCCTGGCAAAATGCCAGGTGTTATTTTGACCAGTGGAAGCCGTTTATTGTAGGACAGGAGCAGTATTTATACATTCCACACAGCTTATCTAATTAACATAAACTAGATACATCAGTCAACCAATCAGGAATCTCCACACTTAATGGCTCGCTTTTGTTACTTCTCAAACCATTCCCTCTGGCATTTTGCCAGGCACCATCCAGACTTGTTTACCAACTCTAACATTCCCTTGGCAAAATGCCAGGTGTTATTTTGACTTGTTTACAGACTCTAACATCTAACTAAGTTGCTCAGGCTGGCCTAGAACTTGGGATCTTCCTGTCCTAGTCTCCTTAGTTGGCTGGGATTATAGGTCAGCTTCTCTTTGGTTTTTTAAGCTTCACTTTTAAAAAGGGAAGGCATGTGTATAAAAACTGAGAATCCATTGGAAAGGGAAATTTTAGTTAACAACAAACAATCCTAAGATCAGTATTGAAAAGCCAGAGGCCACAGTCAACAGAGTAAAAATTTTCAGTTGAAGGAGCATCAAATAGCTGTTTGAAAAGAGAGTCTGTTTTCATTGAGAGTTTTAAACTTTCAGGACATGTAACATAAAGTTCTTTTTATTGTGGGAAGCAAGGATGGGTTCCTCATCACATCTTAGCCCCAGGAGGATTTTAGCTATACTTTGGTGTGGTGGAGCTAGCTTCTGGGTCAGGAGACCAAGGTGGAATTTCCTTAGTCACATAATTTTAAGCAAGTCGCTTAATTTCTTTGGATCTGTTTTCTGAACTGTCAAGTGGAAATAATGACAGAATCTCCCATATAGGGTATCTGTGAGGATTCAGTAAGATATGACTTATAAACTGGGCTTGGTGGTGTAGACTTGGGGAGGCTAAGGCAAGAGGATGGCAAAATAAAATAAAAAGAGTTCGATGTAGCTTAGTGGTAAGATGGCCCTGAGTTCAAACCCCAGTCCAACAAAGGAAAAAAAGATAATACTTCTGAAGGGTTTAGGAAGGTGCTTGACATGGAATAAAAACTCAAAAACTCACAGCTAGTGTTATTATAGCTAATCCTACCAGCAGTGTTAGCTAGCAACACAAGAGTACTAGTAGTAGAAGAGCTAGCAGTAAACCACAGTGGCAATAGTGATAATGGTATGTTTTTTATGAATTTTATCTTAGCCCAGTCAAGCTGCTATAATGAAAAGCCACAGACTGGGTGGCTATAAACAGCAGACATTCACTTTTCACAGCTCTGGAGGCTGGGACGTCCAAGATCATGACAGTCACTAATTTTGTGTCTTAAAGGCCTGTCCATGGCACCTTGTTTTTGTGTCCTTGCAGGGATGGAGAAGTCAAGGCAGCTCTCTGAGGTTTGTTTTATAAGGACACTATCCCATTCACGAGGGTGGAGCCCTCAGGACGTAATTTCCTCCTAAAGTCCTACCTCCTAATGTAGTTCTTTATTAGAATTTTCAAGGGTCATCTAATGGTCTAACACAAGTTAAGTATCCACAATGCTTGGGACCAGAAGTGGTTTGGATTTTCAGATGTTTTTGGCTATAAAGATACTGGGATATATATATATATATATGTATATAAATATATACACATATATATATAGAAGGACTATAATTAAATTTTTAGCTATAAAGATATTGTTATATATATATATATATATGTGTGTGTGTGTATATATCCATATATATATATATATATATATATATATACACATATATATATATGTATATATATATATATGGATATTTGGGGGCTGGGACCCAAGTCAAAAACTGAAATTTATTTGTGCTTCATATGCTCCTGATAGTCTTAGCTTAAAGAAAATTTTATGTATTATTTTTAGTGCACATGTGTTTTGACTTGTCACATGAGGTCAGGTGTATAGTTTTCCAATTGAGATACCAAGTGGATATGTGAAAAGATTCAGATTTTGGAGCATTTCAGACTTTGGATTTTCAGATTAAGGTTGCTCAACCTGTAGTGATTGCCAGCTATGGGAAGAGATGGAGTGCCAGGACCTGTGAATGAGGTTGGTTGGCAAACCCCTCAGGACCTTAAGATTTCCCATCTCATCAGTGTTCCTCACCTTGGGCAGTTACTGTTACTGTCTTGGGGTGGGCGTTGTCTCTCTCAAGTGAGGATCAGACAAAAGCTTTGAAAACCAAACATATCAGAGTAAACCTGGTGAATGCTTTTTATGATGAAATTATTGCATTGGGTCAGATTTATGTGATAGAATTTTCTGGGTTTATGGAAATGATCCTCATTTTGTGCTCTGCAGTACAGTAGCCAGTAGCTACATGAAGCTATTGAATACATAAAATGTGGCTAGTAGAATTGAGGAGCGAATTTAATTTTAACTAATTTAAACAGCCAAATATGACTCAGCTGCCTTGGCTGGCAGAGGTTTAGGGAATTGACAGGACTCTGTTAAGAAGCCCGATTTGCCAGGCTGGGGTTGTGGCTCAGCGGTAGAGCGCTTGCCTTGTACGTTCAAGATCCTGGGTTCGATCCTCAGCACCACATAAAAATAAATACATGAAATAAAGGTATTGTGTCCAACTGCAACTTAAAAAAAAATAAAAAAAAGAAGAAGCCTGATTTAGGTTCATTTATATGGTGCTGTGTTCCTTGAAGGAGCAGCACAGGGTGAAACTGGGTCTCAGTGGTTTCTTTGTGTGAGAAATAGAAAGTTTGTTGGTCCATTTTCATAATATAGTATTTGGCTTTCATTGGATCCAATTGTGACTATTTTAATTATAGTCCTTCCATTTGTACACCCCAATTTTGAAATTAGCTAATCACTTAGATTGTAAGCCCAAGCGCTTCTTATCAGAGCAAGGGGCAGTACTTTGTTAGGGATAAAAGCAGGCGGATTGTCTGCCCATGTGTGCTTGCTTGTGGGATTCCCTCCCGGGACACAGCCTTCTGCAGAAGAACTGTGACCCACTGCCAAGCACGTATTTGATTTCTTGTGGCACCTTGGTATTTCTAACGTTTGATACTTTACCCATTTCCTCTATAAGGTTTAGAGGTAAAGGTTCAGATTAGGGATGCTGAACATGTGAAGTCTTTGCAGATATTCTCCACAGTCTGAGAAACTTGTTTCATATAAAGAATACGCAGCCTACAGTGGTGGTTGAATTGGG